TTTGCAACCCTGCTTGACTTTGGTTGCTTTGCAGCAATAGCATATGTGATTGGTTTTAGCTGTTTGTCAAATTAACTGAGCAATTAGCCAAAGAAGTTTGATTTTGCAGAACATTACAGAGTACAGGTCTTGTCAAGCCTTCTATCCATGAAAAAGACATGGAATATCATCACCCAGGTTTTTGGGGGCAAGAAATAAGAAAAATTCAAGGAAAGACAACATGATGGTGAGAATGACTGACTTACAACAGATCCTTATCAAATAACTTTTCAGTGTATCGAAAGAAACCAACTGCTGCAATCTTTATTTCTTGTTGTACTAAGAGAAGAAATAGACAAGTGATTTTTAAGTGAGAAACTTTAAGTGAAAAGCTCTAATTAGCCTATAGAACTCCATATAAGCTATATTTTGTCCCCTGCAAGTAAGAGTAGGGAAGTAGAGAATAAGCTGAAATAGCTATCTTATAAATTACAGGCACACATGTTATCTCCAACAGCGGTGTACTCAGTAACCTTGAAGAAGGTATCTCACCACCAGTCCTCTGAGGTTTGACTGTGGTCTGTAAGCTCTGTTGCAGAGGGTATATAGGTATTTCTTCAGTTAGACCCTTCTGAGACTTCTTCTTTCAATGGAAAGCTCAATAGGTAATTAAATGTCAACTAGGCTAATTCTGTGGTCTGTTAAATATAGTTTATCTGCAAATTTGTCCATTAATTTGCATAAATAACTTTATTATATGCTCTGCAGAGTCATAGATTTTAACCTTTTTTACAGAAATAATATTTTCAACAGATGCTGTCTTGGTCATCTAAATTTAATCAAATCTGTTATGACTTCTCAATCTCATATTTGCAGTTTATTTGAAGAGATAAAACTATGTTACTGCCCCAAATCTGCTGAAGAGTACATGAGATGTCTCAGATCACTACTAACTATTGAGGTCAAACTTTGTCATGTTTAATACCTGAAAGACAAAAATAAGGGGTTTATGAACATTTTAAGAAGAGTAATCCTAGGTTTTTTTCATTTAATTAGTCTGCACTGGGTACACCCTCCAGAAGCTGCCTGGGAGGGCTTCCACAGGTTAGGAACTGAACTAACTGAATTTATAAGGAGGCAAAGAAAAGCAGTGAAGCAGCAGAGAGCTCTGTGGAACTGATTGGCAGTGAGCCATCTGTTAAGCAACCACAACTACGTCAAAGATATCTAAAAATACATCAGTTGGTTTGGGAACATAATGCCCTAACTCAAATAAAAAGGCACTTCAAAAAACAATAAAAAAGTGTTTTAAAATATGTTGCTTTTATTCATACAGTAATGAAATATAAGAAGAACTGCTTTCAAATGCAGTGTTAGTAATACCTGAATAGTTCCACAGAATAATTATTTGTTAGTCTCTACTTCTCTCTGGAGTAGAAACTACCGTTTTATTTCAGTTCCACTTTCTCTCTCTCAGATTCCCCACAGACCAACATTGCTGTCATGTCCTTTCTTCCTTGTTGCTTCTCCTGAGTTCCCTCATGTATCATCAGTTCAAGATACATTGTGCAGTCTTATTTCCATCCCATTCCCCTCATTCCCTCACCTTCCTTCCACTCTCAAACCTGTTCCTCTGACAATCCTGCTTCTTGGAATCGTCTGCAATTCTGCCTTTCCACTTAGGCTCCTTATTTTCACATTGTCTTCTCCTGTCTAAGCTACAAACCTCATCTTTCTTTGCAACCTCCAAACTGGCCTTTCTGCATTTCTGTCTGTCTTCTGAACTCTTGCTTTTACCTTCAAATGCTTCCACTGCTCAGGAACCCCTCTTTTCCACCTCCATCTTGTATGCATCTGTCTTCTTTACAGCTACCACCTTATGCAGAAGAAACTGGGGACACTTCCTTGCTGTCATTTTCATGCACATTTACTCCAGTATTTTCCACCTGCTTTTTATATACTCCTCAGCCTTAGGTTTGAGAAATCATTTTATAGCTTCAGTCCTGACTAAGGCATCAGTGTGATAGCTATTAATGAAATCTCATCATTTTTTCCTGCTTCTGCCCACATAGTAGTAGTATTATCATTGTAAGTGATCCAGGGGCAACAGCCTTGATTTGTGATTTATTTTGTGCCAAAACTATGGCACCCTGCAGCAGGCAAAAGCTAGATGGTGGTGAGACTACCAAGAAAAATTTACCCATGAAACAAAGTGTGACAATCATAATTCAGCCTTGCTAGAGTACTGATAAAAGGTGAAGGTGCTGAGTCACTAATTCTTTAATAGTTCACGTGGAGGTAGATGTTGGAACCAGATGGTTAACCCCTGAGCTGGATGCAGATTAAAATCTAGTTTTGACATCTCTCTCCCACTCTTGCTTCAAACCTGAAAGAAGTATTAGAAAACCTGGCCACCAGCACTTTGGTGTGGTTGGGTGAAACAAAGAGTTGTTACAGATGGACACAAAGTATCTGCAAATCACTGCAGCACAGCTAATTTCATTCCTATGTGTATAGCTAATTAAGATTGTTCTTCGCAGTGTGTTGGGGATTTCATATATTCAGTCTTGTTCTTTGAGGACATCCCAAGAGCGGACTTTCCAGTGGCTGATTTTAAAAGCAGATGTAACTGTAAATGTTATTTGCTTAACAGCAACCTTTTTTTGGTTACATCCATCCATTCAGGCTGCAAATATGAAAACAGGAAGTATTCCCCTGTTTGTAGAAGTCTGCCTGCAGAAATAAATATAAGAACATATATTTTAAAACAAGTATTTTTAGAAACTTCTATTGAGGGCTGTACTGCTGTTTGGACTTTCTACCTTTTCAGATTTTGTTGCTTAGTCTATACATTTTTAATAATCACATTGCCTGCTAGCAGTGACATTTTGTGAAGGTCGTTTTTCTTGTGAAGTTAGAGAATGGACTTGAAATTCATTGAAGGAGTCCCTGAGCTGCAAGATCATTGTTTGTGGAACTCTTGCATCTCGTACTACCTTTGAAGCCTGTTTAGAATTTTAACTAATGATATCTTCAAAGTGTCACTGTTCTCAAGGGCAAAAAAGAAGTCTCAAAATGCACTTCATATTTTAAACCAGTTTTGAAAAGCTTTGATTCATGGTGTTAGCTAAAAATCAGAGGCATAGATACAGACTTATTGTGTATGCACACACAGAGAATTCCATGTTTCACCAACTTTTTCATTGTCAGCAAAGTGTCCCTTCACGTTTGTAATGCCTTTTTTTCAATAAAAATCATGTTTATGTATAGTCTTAAGAATTTTGGCTGATAGTTTGATACCTCAGTAGGTATCTTTAGGCACTTCCTTAGTGGAGGTAATTTCAGTTAGTCTACATCTGTCCTAACCTGCTTCTTCTCATTTCCCCTGTGTAGAAATAGACACTGGGTTGTATTTATATGCCATTTCTGTTTCTGAGTAGAGGATCATAATACCAGCAAACTATGTTTGAAATAGAAGAGACTGTGATCTCAACTACTGACTTAAAATTGCTTGGTTTTGTGTAAACCAGGGTACCTGCTTCCCACAACTAAACACATACCAAGTTTGCTTATTAGTAGAAAATCTGAAGGTTTACTTGATATATATGTCTGATATCTTCTGATACTGACATATTCCTTAAAAACATGTTAAATGTTAGCAGCAATGTTAGAGAATATGGCCACTCGAATATCTGTACTGTTCAGGAATATTTTTTTTCTGTTCTATTTATTGCTTCCTGTAAGCGTTTTAGTTGTACAGCTGGTGCAATACTCCTAGATCCTTCTCATAGGGATGCCATTGGGTTAATTCTGTCGTTTTGCTTCTCTATGACTTTGTTTTCCATTTGTAAACTAGGAGGTTACAAAATTACAAGAATGTGATTTGTAGTTTAATCTTTCCCAGAAAATAGTTGGTCTGGTTTTCTTACATTTTATTCTTTTGCTATATCAAAGTGCCAAGAAAATTTAGGTAATTCAGAGTGTTCTTATATTTAAGATGCACTTTTCTATTTCTATTTTGATAGCTGCACCATCAAAGTGTTGTATTTTGTCTGGATGTTTTACAATGGATTTCACAGCTTTATGACTATTGCTAACATTTTAGTTGTGCCAAGTAACTTAGAATCTTGTTTCAGAACATAAAACAACGTGATCAACTGAACAGCAACTACTGTGAGGGAAATGAAGAAAGGGTAGGACTGTAGCCTGGCTTTGAGGTATTATGTTGTAATGGAAGTTAGAAGTTGGAAGACAGGCCAGATTGTGCATTTGAGACAATTTGTGTTAGGAAGTAAGGCCAGAAGGTTGTTCATATCCCAGAAAAATAACCTTCCATCTGATTCCCTTTGTTGAAAAGGATTAAAAAGACAAGAATGTTCAGCCTCTGCTTCCAGGCTTCCTGATGCCCAGTGCATATAGACCACGTTGTGAATATAAATCACCAGCCTGTTTGGAACTGCTGTTTTGCTGACATAATCAAAAGGGAAGGCCTCAGCCTATGGCCATTATCATTACCATTTTAGTGTTTTCCTGTCTGCCTGCTACATGGGTTTCCCTTTGCAAGCTTTTTTTTTAATCTTCAGCACAGACCAATTCACCCTTTTCATCACTGGGAAAATCTCAGTGGGAAAATACACAAGATTGATGAGGAAGAGAAGACAGTTACATTTGGTCTTTGCTTATTCTCTAACGTTCTTTCTTTTCTGTTAGAGGGAGTTGTTGCTATGTATGTGGTGGTGTTAACATTTCCTATATATATAGAGTCCTGACTTTAAACATTTTCTGTAGAACCTCTACAGTACAGCTAACAGTGCTTCTTCCCAACTCTTTGTCTTTCCCCATTTTACACAACCAAGAGAAAATGATTGAACATATTTCACTGTTGAGAATTTATCAAGGACATCTCTTGGCAGAAACAAAAAAAGAAAGAGGAGATACCCTTACAAAGATTTTAGCTAGTTTCATGTTTTTCTTGTCCTTGTACTTCTTCACTCACTTTGCTATATAATATTTTCTTGCAGGCCACTAAAGAAGTAATAGAGCGAGAAGCCCCAGGGATGGCCCTGGCAATGCTGATGGGATCACTCAATGTTACTCCTCTGGGCATGCTCTCTAGGTAAGACTATTTCCTTCAAAATCTGAGGTGAGCTGTTTCCTTAGAAATACACATTGTCATGGAATGACTATACACAAATAACTAAAAATCGCCATTGTGATCAAGTCTTGAAGTCGTAACATCAGATGAGCGGCCAAATTCCAAAAACACTAATTGTATTCTCGCAATGAATTCTCTTTGTTGTCTCTGTGACACTGTATCCTTCTCTGTTTTATGTGCCAGGTGATTTGTAATATTGATACATGCTGTTAAACAGCTGTCTTTTCATCCTGGAGCTGTGGTATTTCAGCATTGTGTGAAGAATTGTTTTGTGTGTTGTTCATCAAGTACTAAAATACTATGTTGAGCAAAAAACCTTTGATAAATACAAGCATATTGTTTTGAGGTTGCAATTATGCCAGTATCAGCAAAAGCTCTCTGAATAAGTTAAATGGTATTTTTTACAATTATTTCAGATATAGTACTTTAACTCCTAGGGTTTGGTATTTACTACTAACTAATTAGCAACTGTTTCTCTGCTTGTTGGTGTTTCTTTTTTTATCAGTGACATCTCTTGTATTTCTGGAGTTGATTATTATTTTAGGCAACATTGAAAGGACAACTTTACCAAGTTAGTTAACACCTTCAGATTCTGTCCAAATTAGCAAGGCATTTCATTTATTTATCTGATACAATTTTTTACATCATTTGTTAGTCTAAGACACAAATTGTTAATGTATTTTGTTAGAAAATTCTGCAAATTGAGGTAGTGTTTCTATCCCCCCTTACAATGAGAATTATCAATTAAATATTAGACTCTGTCAGCCTTTTTTGATGCTTTTTCAGCTCATCTTCTCCTGAGCTGCTTTAAGAGAACATGATCAGGAAATATTTTTAAATGTCAGAAATAGTGTTTACAAATTCTGTAAGTAATAGAATTTATCTTAAATGTTCTGTTCTTGTTTCTATAATGGATAAAGCTGCATGCAAAAGTTTCACTGGGTTTCTTTCTTTTCAGACCTGTGTGTGGAATCAGAGGAAAGACTCTCATAATTAATCTGCCAGGTAGCAAGAAAGGGTCACAGGTAAGAAGTATTCTTACTGATCTGCTACTGAGGACCAATCATGAGTACGTCTCATTGTTCTGAATGGTAGAAAGTACCCACTACAACAAATGTTACAAAAGTGAATTGTAATGCATATTCATATAACTGAACACACCATCCCTCTCAGTCAGGGACAATACAATTCAAATCTGATTTAACATTGTGTGTGACCAGGACAGCATTACGTGTAGTGCCAGAGCATGCTCACTGTAGGAGGCAGTGCTAATAAAGAGTCTGATGATCTCTTACACCTCCTTCTTCTTCTCTAGACAGACTGAACCTGATCCCTGTGTTGTTGTCTACAGCTTCCAAGGAAGTATACTTTTTTTACACAGCAGTAAGAGGAAGGCCTAATGTATGGTAGAACTTCCTGGAGTATGAAGAATTTTCCCAACTTCAGTCAGCAAGAGGGTAAAAAACCCCAACATTTTTAAGAGTTTGAGGATTTTTAAATTTTTTTTCCATATGGGCATCAGACTTTATACCTTTTATACAGGATTTTTTCTTCCTGCGTTTTGCTTTTTGGATAGGAAAGTTAGGGTTTATGTTTTGTTCATGCATACTTTCTGACTGTAGAGCTTAGAGAAACACAATTAAACATCAGAAGGAATTTTTTATGTGTGTGTTATTAAGGCTAGATCTTTCCCAGTGCTCTTTTCTTTCTGTGTGGCTGATAGATCCAGAAAAACAGCTTTCTCCAGACAAATACTACTAAGCTGAACAGTGAGTTCTGCAACCTGATATGAAACTGCTAAAGCAGATCCCCCATCCGTCATGAGAATATGTTTCTCCAGGGCTCAAACTATGTCAGTGACATTCTTAAAAAATGTATTTTCCTCTGGCCTCTAACAAATGCATACCTGATAATTATCAACATCTTCTGAACCAGTAGTACCTAGTCACAGAAGAGACAGTACTAATGTGTTTGGCAGCACAGCCCTGAAGTCACTGTTGCTTGAAAGTCTTATGTTGGGAGATAAAGAAAGAATGTTTGTGTGGGCTAAAACCTGGAAGTTGAAGAGAAAGTGTTTTGAATACTGTTATCTTAAGCAGCCATCACAGGTTTTCAGATGCATTTTCTACATGTTGCAGCTCAAGGACTCAGTAACGTGTTTTATAATTCTGCCATTCCTTGGAGTCATATTAGGAAATTTAATGAAATTGTAGTTGAAAAGGAATTTTAAAGCCTTCAAAACATGCAACAAGCATTGGAGGATGGTGGGGCAGTAGGAAGTCATATGTATGTACATGTATTTAACATCACAGTGGGTCCCATATCTTAGAGAACTGGTGCACCAGTGAAGATTTTTTCAGAAGTCTGTACTTTTGTTGAATTATGAAAGAGATGAAATAGCCTACAATCTCTAATGGGTTTTGCTGTGTTCAGTAGCACTTGTAACGTCCTAGGTACAGAAGAAATTGACATTTTCTGCCCTGAGGCACTTACACTGTGAAGACAGGTAAATTGGAGAAAGAAGATGAGAAAAAGAAATGAAAAAAATATAATAAGTATTTTAACAATGGTTCAATATAAAGTAAAAAATAAAAAAGGTAATTCTGCTAGAAAAGAAAAAAATGTATAATTTCATTATATAAGCAAGCTTTTTCTAAAATGATATTTATTTGTTCCTGTCATGATGATACGCTGTTCTGTCACAATTTATTTTAATATGAAACATCTTTAAAGTTATCAGATTTCATCAAAGATTTTTAAGATTAATAGCAGAGAAAATTGTTCCATAACAGGCTGGATCTCAAGAACCAGATAGAGTGGGTTATTACCAGGAATTTCTCTCATTTCTGTCTTCCATAGCTTGCTAATTTCCTTTCCATCATACTAATACAGTCATATAAGAGGATTATATAGAGCTATAAAATTGCAGCAGTGTACATATTTCATTAATAAATATTAAAATGCTCTGTCTTAAAAATGGACGCAATACATGCCAATGTGTTTTCTCTGGAGAATGTTTGTGGGGCGTGTACCAGAGAATCAAGATCTGTAGAATACCTCCATTTTTCTGTGTTGTTTTGGTCTGTTTAATTTTAGCCTTGCAAAAGATATTTAATGTAATAAAAGAAGGCAAAGTATGAAATTACCAGATGCTCACTGAAATCATTTGGTGTATGGCATTTTTCATAATTGTGCTTAAAACAATGAGTTTTATAAATATTATCAGCTTTTATAGTACTTAGTGGGAACCTATTGGAAAAAAATAAGGCCAATGAGACTTTATTTCAGTGGTAGGAGTGGGGAACATGCTTTTCTAGTGAGGTAATCATTAATGTACCTTTTCATGATTATTGATCAGTTCACAGATAGTTGTCCTGGTTTACCACATACTTGAGGTCTGCTTTGTTGCTGAAGTAACAGTGGTTGTATGCTTCAGTATTTTAAACCATGTTAAAAAAAATACCATGGAGGCAATTTCATGAGAAGTTAGAATTCTATATTATGTCTACAAGCATATTTTAATATGTATTCATTCTATACAGCATCTTACGCTCATCAAGTTATGCCCAGTTCTTCAGAGTGCCAAAGTAACTGTTTGAAGAATGTATAAATCTATTAAGTAGTCTGACCTTTCATTACTCTTAAAGGACCAAATGGATGGTGGAGTTTTATTTAGAATCTTTGAGGAAATACAGTGTTTGTGAATAGGTTTTTTTTACTTACAAAGTTGCTTATACAAACTCTAGTAATTTCTGATGGGTGATTTGCTCTTTATTTTGTTTACATAGTCCTTTTTTTTTATATTGAAAGTATTTATTACAGTATCTATTTACAAAATGTTTACTTTTATTTATTTTCTAGATAGTCTAAAATATTGGAATAGCTTTTTAAAAAAATTCGATATGCTCGAAACAAAACCAAAATGAAACTCACCAAAAGGAATAATGTCAGCTTTCTCTGTCAGCCTCTATGTTCCATAACTGCACTACCATGGCAATTCATTCTTGTGACCCTGCCATCATTTTCCAATAATTTAGTGTTTATATGCAGTCTGCTGAAATGACATGAAAACCCTTTACTGAGATGCCTGGGTTAGAGAATGGGAGACAGTAGTAATAGATTGTAGAAGGTAGCTTCCAGTTGGATAAAGAGAAAAGGGGAAAAAAATACTATTTTGAGGGTAATTAAGCATTAGAAGAGGTTGTCAAGAAGGGTTGTGGAGTCTCTGTTCTTGCATTTTTTCAAGACTTAAAAGCCCTAAGCAACTTGTTTGAATTCCATATTGATCCCAGTCTGAGGAGGAGGCTTCCCTGCATGGTATCCTGAGCTTACTCTTTGTTTTGATGAAAGATTAGCATATCTTAGCAGCAGAGGTAGCTATATATGTATATGCCCATTGTGGAAGAAAAACGGTTACACAGTGTCTGCATTTTTGCTTTCTCCAGCTATGTAAAATAAACTTTTTAATTGGTTTTAACATCATAGAGTAAGCAGGGGCTTGAAAAGTAGATAATTTATGAACAATTTTTTCTGAGTTAAATAAAATTACAATTACATCAGTGCAGTTTGTCATTCTTGCAGTATATAGGATAAGTGCATTAATAAAAAGGTATGTAATTATATAGAAGTGTAATTTTGGAAACCCTTATGAATTGTTCTTTAGTTGTGCAGCAACATAATAGGAATGATTTGAAGCTAATATCCCTGCAGGGATAGAGTTAATGTTTTTATTCTGCATTTTTGTAGCATTCTGCCAACTGCTGTAAACTGATTTCTCTGTTATGTGTTCATGAAAATTTAACTCTTGTTTTCTGAAGTTTTAATCCAATATTAGCTGAATTACAGTAGCCTTGTTGTACAACTTGTTATATTTACATGATAAAAGGCAAAAATATGTAACATAGTCCCAAATTCTGGTTCTCTGGTTTTTTTACCCTCTATGAACAATTGCATTGGGCATTTATGGTTTTATCTATGATCAGGTGAAAAGATACATTCCAGGTATCTTTTAAGAGTAAATATGAAAAATCCCTGTTTGCTTGTGCAGGCAACTCTTAATAGCCATTTATCTTCTCATTGTGCATAGGAATGCTTTCAGTTTATACTGCCAGCCCTACCTCACGCCATTGATCTTTTGCGGGATGCCATTGTAAAAGTAAAGGAGGTGCACGATGAACTTGAAGACCTACCTTCACCACCACCTCCTCTTTCTCCTCCTCCAACCACCAGCCCTCACAAGCAGACAGAAGACAAAGGAGTACAGTGTGAGGAAGAGGAGGAAGAGAAGAAGGATAGTGGAGTTGCCTCAACAGAGGACAGTTCTTCTTCACATATAACGGCAGCAGCCATTGCAGCTAAGGTGAGTTTGGCTTGTTTCCCTCAGACACCCTTTAGTTTCTATCTCAGGTACTTTCCACCAATCTATAGCATGTTAAGACCACACATTGATGTCTGTGTGATCAAACAGATGGTTTTTTAGGTACTTTTTACAAACATATAGCTTCATAAAAATACAGAAATCCTGTTTTGGTTGATGAGCTCAAATTTCAGGGTGAGTTATATTGTTTATTATCTTAATGATAACGTGCTTTTTTATGATACCATTCTGATGTGACAGACTATTTTAAGTGTTGGGTTTTTTTTTAATTCCAAGTACTCACACATCTGAACATGCAAAGTCCAGCAGGTGGCGTATTAAGGATTGGCAACAAAATTTTCTAAGCCATAATATCTATTTTGAAAATAAAATGTTGATTTCTGAACACATTGATAAAAAGTCTGACAGGTAGCATCTTAAGTAATAACTTGTCCAGCCTGCTGTATTCCAGTGTGCGTGTCTGCATAAGAGATGTGAAATTCTGCCACAAAACTAAATGTCACCACATGGTCTTTATATCCTCACTTTAACCAGTCATCACAGATCAACATTACTGCAAACTAAAATAATAAATTTGAGACTACAAAAGGAAAAACTTAGATAATACTTGCAAATTATATAAATTCAAAGTTTTAATGTTTTCCAAATAAATATATTATTATTTGAAGCAATATATAAATACTTACCTCAGTTTTATGTCTTTAGTTTTCAAATGGAAAGATAATGCATACCTATGTGTTTGGAAAGTTTTTTTTCCAAACTGCTTTGTTTTTTATTTACTCCAGAAATAGTACTCTTAATTCCTCTTATGGGAATTGAAAGTGTAAGTAACTCAAAATTATATTAAACAGTTTCTAAACCAAAGCAATAGCATTCTAACTCCAGAAATGTGAATTCAGGTCTGAGACATCTTGACATTTCTAAGACAGCTGCAGCTGGAGATCATCTCCTCATGTACAGAAAATCCTGATTACATATATCTTTACAGGGATGAATTAAGGTAATTATTACTTGCAAGTTTCAGTTTTTATTAATGAACATTTTTTATTCATTTCTTTTTGCATAGGCAAAGATAAATAATATGTGCGATTTTTAAAGGCAGAAAATACCTGAGATCTAAACTGGCTTGTTTCATATGAGCTTGGCATTTCGATGTCACACTTGTTATCACCCCATTCCCTTTCAGTCATTTGCTTGTATAGTTTCATGTTTTCCTGTCACTGTATTCATAGCTGTTATGTGTTGTGCATTAGAAGCATCCATCCTACACCAGTTCAGCTGTTATCATGGCAAAAGGTGAACGGCCCATCCCTGGTCTCATCAGGTATTGTCATCATGCAGCAGGCAGTGCAGAAGAACCGGTAAGACACACTTCCAAGAGGCTTTTACACTAACAGTAACTAAAAATACACTGCCTGCCTCCTACTCTCCTTTGTCAACAGACAGTGTCATTTATTTTCTCCTAACAAAGACACATCAGTGCTATCTTTTAGACAACATGCTAGAGAAAATGCTCTGTTTAAGATACAGGGCTAAATAAGGTGAAGTTCACATGTGTGGCCAATTGAATCATTTCACTGCTGAGATAGTCATTGGTGTAAAGCCTGTGTTTCTGATTAGTCATGAGCTTGCTCCTTAATTGAATATAACTAAAACAATTTCCTAAGACTACTGCTTTAGAGCTGTGAAATTTTAGTAGCTTTTTTCTCTTTGATTGCCTTGCTTTCCTTTTTGTCTCTCAATTGTTTGTCAGCATAATACAGCATTGGCACTGGCTGTTCATTGTTTGCTTTCATCAGTTGCAGTTTCTCCCCTATTTTTGTATTTTGTTTAGAAGTAGAATCTCTCAAAGACATAATAAAAGACTTAAGAAGTCAGGATACAATGGACTTAGTATATATTACTGGATTTTAGTGAATAGTAGGCAACTATCTCAATGAACGGTAGAAAGGAGTTATTTTATTATAACCCAGAGGTTAGAACTCAGGCTCTAACAAAATAATGTACTTTATTTCCATCTCCCAGAAGTTTAGTCTAGGCTTGAATCAAAATAGAATAATTGCTAGAGTGTCATCAGGAATGAAAAGTAATTTACTATATTCATAACTTTAGATTAGAGAAACCTAAAGGAAGCAGTTGGCCTAGAGAGAGTTGTGCTGTCTGACCTGTTCATTCCATGTCAGCCAACAAATGGGGTGTAGCTTTTTGGGAAAATACATCAGTAGATTTGATGACCAGAGGCTGCACTTTTCTTGTTCCCTTAGGCAAAGAGTAAGGTGTATTTAAAACATCATGACCACGTCTCTTGAAAAGTCACTTAGGAAATGTGAAGGTTTTAAAGTTCACACACCTGATGATAAAGCTATATATGTGTACATACATAAATACAGACCCATTTATTCCAATAGTTTCTTTTTTCTGAGTTGAGGTTACTAAACTAGAATTTGGACCATGTTCAGTTAAGCAGTGAATTCAGCCTCTCAGAAGCACACAGTTAAGCTGTCATCCAGGCTTCTGTGCGTGTCTGCACATTACTCTTGTGCTGTTGTTTTACACATTCTGTAATCCACATCAGATCTTCAGACTCAGAGCAGGAAGTGGCTAGTTTTTCAGAAAGTTGTTGATTTTTTAAAGCTGTCCTTTCTCTATATTTTAAAGACTTTTCTGCTCTTGTATAACAGTCAGAATAATTGCCATTTACAACTTTGTGTTCTTAGTACCTCATCAGCACTGTCAATCTTTGTTCCAGTCCTGGGCAAAAGAGAATGAAGAGTATATTTTCCTTTTTCCTTTTCTTGCCAGCAGTTCTCTAATCTAACAACAGAAATTTTTAAAGCAATATGAAGGTACTTCTGAAAAAGGTCATATCAGATGAAAATTGTAGAAGCAATGACTGATGGGTGTGGTGGATATCTTTCTCTGTCCCTTCATTCATTTCTTATTCATTTCTTTCTCAGTCATTATGTTACAAGAGATTTTCCACTCCAGCTAGTGCAAACAAGAAACTATTTTCACTGAACCGAGTTTAAACCCCCTTTAGGGTTTTGAGTCCTCTACCTCTATTACATTTGTTTGAAACTGTAAAATGAGTTTAAAAATTTTAGGAGGAAACATCATAAATGCAAAACAACCAAACCAAATAAACAAACAAACAAAAACCATCAAAAATGCAGTAATATTCCTACCCTTCCTTATTGCAGATTTCCAGAATCCAGGAAACATTGGAATTTTCCATAGTTTTATCAACCTCTGTAACAAGGTTAACAAGAAGTTACTTTAATTAGAGACTTAGATTGCCTAAATTTAATTTTAGAAGGAAAAAAATTAAATGTCGGTGAGAAAAATAATACGTTCTTTATAGCACATAGCATATATGCACAGAAATATCAATCATATTCTATTGTTCCTGTCACTTAATAAACAGTATATACACATTATATTTTTAATATATTCATGTTAGTGCAATATACATATTAGTACTCTCTCTGAAGTCAGCAGGTTGGAATGGTTTAAACAGAATATTAATACTGGTTTTAGCAATACACTCTGCCGTCATATTAGAGAAATAATCCTCTTGAGAGCAAAATTTGTAACTAAATTAATTCTCTCCCTGAGATTTTGTGTCTGGAAAAGCCAACAAGCTGAAACTTAGAGTTCTAGGTAGGTTTACATATATACTGTTTTATGGCAATTGTATTTTCTTAAAGGTAGTGATTAGGGAATAATTCTAATTTAAATTTCATGCCTGTAATCGTCTTTTCCCTTTATCACCAGCTTGCTTTTATGATTAATATCCTGGCTGAAATTTTACTTAAATTTTAATTTTCTTATAGGAAAAAATTGCTACTTCACATGTGGTTCAATGCAATTGTCTCAGTCACTTTGTTGCAGAGATATTTTTTTGTTCTGAAGAAGGTTATATTGGATAAAATTTTAGAAGTAGGGATTTTTTTGTATGATGGAAAGGGAAAAAAATACCCAGCTATTGAGATAGTATGTAATATCTGCTTACTAGCTTACCATATACTAGGTTACCATCTAGAGTAACCAGAGAAAATCCAGGCAGAACTGGATCATGCTATCTTTTGCAAAAGCAATATTGTATTTGTATTGTGGCATCCTAGAGTATATAGAAGAGAAAATGGACCCTTACACAATCATATCAAGATGTGTACAGTTTTTTGTTTTTTTTTTAACAGAGGAGGGTAAAGAAAAGGTTCCTTATTTGAAGACTTAAAACTATTCTTTCTTTTAATGTGTCTTTTTTATTTTATGCCTTTATCAAAATGTAATTTTTTGCTGTATTGTCCATAAGCATGGAGATTAAAAAGAAGCATTAAAAATTGTAGGTAGCATTGGAGCTATGCCAGTATAAAACTTAGGGATGTCAGTCTTCTTTTGTGTTAAACATATTTAAGATGGGGTTTGAGGAGAAAAAGAAGACAGAAAGGGAATTGTGCTTCTGACAACAAACTGTTTGCATGATCAGAATATCATCATCCCTGTTTACCTCTATTTATAATACAGCTCTAAGATGCCATTTGCAAGTAGAGGCCAGTAAGGCATTATTTCTGAAGACTCAGATATTCCAGGCATAATAGTCCATAGTGAAGAGAAACTCTGCTGACTTTGTAATTTTTAGTGGAAATTGCAACACAAGTTACTTAGCCTTGAAAGATCCTTTGAGGAAAGTTGGGGGTTTGTAAATGCTGACAGAAACTGACTGTCAATCTAGAAACACAGCAGTAGAGAGGAAAGCAGTTAATTGGTGGCACACAAGGGACAAGATCTGTGTCCACCCAATTTATAAAAAGATTATAAACAAGAGAAACTCTAACATGTGGAAGAATGTTTATGGTGAAATAAGGTCTTTTAGGTATAAACCAATATCTTTAAGTCAAGTTTGCTAAGTTAGACATAGTCACTATTTATAGGTGGGAACCAAAGAAGATGAGGGGGGGGAAATGACATTAAAAAGCAGTATTTAATGACTTGAGTCTTAAGATTGGTAATTTTAATTGCACAAAGACAAGCAACAAAGCTGTATTAATATCCTGACACTAGTCCTAAGGAAGCAACTGATTTTAAAAGCTGGAATACAAGCTTGTCCTGGAAGGAGGGACTTTCCAGTGACTTTTGTTTGTCCTAAAACCGTACTAGTCAAGAAAACTCAAAATGCCTAGATGCAGACTGGGTACAGCATCTCAGTTTACAAAACAAAACAAAACAAAAAACACAAAAAACAAACAATCTGGTCCAGGGTTGTGGAGATTGGCTAGGCAACTATATGGGCCAACTCCCTCAGGACTCTGGGATGCATCTTGGCAGGTCCCATAGACTTATGTATGTTCAGGTTTCTCAGGTGGTCACAAACCTGATCTCTTACAGTGGGAGTACTTCTCTTAGAGTTTCTGAGTAACTCAGCCTTCTCATCCATTGTTACGTTTGCCAGTCATGTTCATCAGGGGGAATACACTTTCATAGCTGGTATTCTAATACAGTGTGTAAGAAAAAAAAATACTGCATTTCTGTTTTTGCCTGCAGAATATGTTTTAAACCAAGTGTTGGCTGTGGATGGTGGTTTCTAGTGCTTTTGCCTGTACTCTGTCCAGGGAGACCTGTAGTTATTGCAGCACAAGCATTACATCAAGAATTTCTGTAGGCAAAATAAAGTCTTCAGTACATGGAATGAAGAGTATTTATTCACTGCATGACATTTCTTCAGAGGTGTTCAGTCTGTTCATAATATTGTCCCCTACTTAGAGAACTGGAAGTCTGCCTGCTTTCATACCACAGTAGAAATCACTGTTGGTCATTGTTGGGTTTGAAACGAGAGGCTTAAGAGGAAAACCATTTCTTTCTTACTTTTTCCTGTTGCAGTATGTCTGATACATGGGCTTTTTGGGACAAACCATATGTTCTGTGCTGCTTTAGTTAGAATATGATCTTATACATTTGCTAGATAATTGTTACAAAAATATGTGAGAACATGCCATTAACCACTGCCAGCCCTGTGTATGGGGGGGTATGCAAACTGAGTAGTGTGGTCTTCCTACATTTTTCATGTAAGTTTTTGAATCAGTTTTAAGTACCTTATAGTTTTTACTATTAATTCTGTCTCTCTTCTTTTTAAGATTCCAGATTCCATCATCTCTCGTGGTGTTCAGGTGCTCCCACGTGATACAGCCTCCCTCAGTACTACTCCTTCCGAATCTCCTCGTGCCCAGGCCACCTCTCGTCTCTCCACTGCATCCTGCCCAACACCAAAAGTAAGTACATTTATGCCTTGCAAGCTCCATGCTCAGACACACAGTCTATCCGATTAATGTATTGCCCCTTCTGAACAAGGTTGGTTCACATATGAGGGTTGTATTGTTCTAAGTAATAGATAAGTGCAAGACAGTATAGTTCATTCCATGTGTACTGTTGCACAATTCAAGATGTGGGTCCACCAATATCTTATGGTTACTGAAGTTTCATGTTATTTCTTGCAATATCAGTTGTGAATATGAAATTTTTAACACCTTTTATGTCTTTAACATCCCCAGGAACATAGATAATACTGCCACTGAGTAACAGCATTAAGCAAGTAGTATTTTGTCAAATGTCAAATATATGTGCAAATTTCTAGTCTCGGCTGGGGCAGTTCTCTGCCCCACCTCATTACTGTTTGGTTTAAGACACTTTCAAACCAGCTGGTTTTGCTAAACTTAGATATTTGCTGCCTGACATTTGGAAACAAAAGCCTAAATTGAATAGAAAGAAAGTTTTAATGCCAACCTTGTGGGATTATTATTCAGTTCTTACTGATTACGCAATAATACTTAATCATTGAGGTGAACTCTGTCGCGTTTTCTTTTTCTCAAACTTTAAATAGCATACATAAAAAATTAAGTTAATTGACCAGTGGCAAGGCCATGTTTACCTTCAGCAGGATTCCTTTCAGCTGAAGAAAACTGTCTGAATTTGCTTCGTGCATTCACATCACAAAGATCTTTCTTTGGCAGCAGATGCTGACATATTAGTAGACCCATAGCAGATGGCAAACAATAACATTCCTCCTCATCTGATTCATGATCCTTGAAGTTTATTCTGCTTGCTAAAGTGATTATCAGCATCTGTTAGTTCTTCTTTTCTGCTGTCTCATTCTTTTCTGTCAGCAAACAAGATTTATTTGCAACCACCGTAGAAATGTTTTGGTTTAGCCTATGGGATTGTTTCATGCAGTACTCACCTTCACTATTAGAGAATCAAAATTATTCTGATGGACAGCAGACTTGAATTTCACAATGTAGTCTACTTTTCTTTAAAATGTCTACTGAATTCTATCTGCAATCAGCTTCATATTTTTGCTAAAAAATGTCACTTGGTCACTTAAAAATGAAAGCTCAGAGCTTATTACAATAGAACACTCAGAGCAGAAGAGCAGTGTGAAGCAGAGAAACTGCACTGAGTTTTATGCAGGTTGTCGAAACAAAAGTGTCCAAAGAAAATCAAAAGAGACCAGTAATAGGCATAAAAAAGAGCCAGAACTGCTAAGAATATCTCCAGATGAAGCTTATGTATTTTCAGGAAGTTTATCACAATGGGAAGGAGTAAAGCTGATCTGCTCTGAAGCCAAATGCCCTCTAGACTATCTTCAAAGGTTCCGAGATTACAGAAGGAAGTTACTAGAACTGTGAAACAGATTTAAAATCTGAAACTTTTATTTGGAGATGAGCCCTTGTCATAATTGGATCATACTTTGGTATTTCATATTAAGTTCTGTTTTTGTGTATTACTGCAAAATCAGATGTTGTTCAAAATGCAGGAGACCACGCTACTTTAAAAACAGGAATTTCCATGCAACATCTAGCTAGTCTAGCTTTTCTGTAGTGCCTTTCAAAAGTGGGTGATACAAGCTGATATAAGGAAAGATCTAGGAAAGCCCAGCTGGAAAATAAACTTGAAGAGTGATCTTATCTGTTCCTGTTACCTAGAGGTTGGATTTTGCGCATAAGTATAAGCTGCTTTGCCACTTCAAGAGAGCTCTTGCTTATTTTTACTTATTACTTTTAAAAAGCCAAATAAACTACTCATTATCTTTTTATTCAGTCCTTTTTCGTACCCTTAAATTCTCAAACGTCATCTGAATTTGTCAAGAAATATGTTTCATTCATATTCTTCAAAATTGTCAGTATGTCTAAATGTCTTCACTTACCGTGTTTTTCATTCTGGGTCCTGGCTTTCTAATAATGCAATATGAATTAAATTTACACTGGACCTCTTGATCCACATGGCAATGAGTGTAAAAATAAATTTACTTCAGCATTGTTAACACAAGCATCCAGTTGATATTCCAGGGTGTTTGGGTTTTTTTTCTTTAATCTACATGTATGTATCTTTTCAGTATTCACATCTACTGGCTTAGGAGCTCATTTCAGGGCTCCAGAACATGTGTATATGAAATGAAACAAAAGAGAGGAAGTTTCAGCAAAAAAAAAACACCTTATTAATTTTCTTGGATTATACATTTTATTTGGAATGGTAGTCTAGCCATAGAACTAGTGGCACTGTATTTTTTTGTCAGATACATATTCCAGTTTATTTTGTTGTACTGTGTTCTTGCTGTATTTTTTGCTCCTAAATGTACATAAACCCTCACATCTCTCTTAATGAATTTGCTAAATAGCAGAGAGTTGCCTATGTCTCTCAGGAAAAAAAAATCAAACTTCTGCAAAGACAGGAGCACCTCTATTGAATCAGTGTAAGTAGCAGGTTACTAATGCATGGGGGTCCTGGAGCGAGAGTTCAGGAGAATGCATTGCTACTACTCCTGATTCATCTGTTAGGAAAAGTTTTTACCTTTTCATAGTTATATTTTGGAAAACCTAGTGTTGCTTCTATATACACACAGATCATGTAGACAAAATACAAACTTTTAAATTTACTGCTAACATTTTATCTTCCATATTTTCTGAAAATCTCTATCTCTTTCAAAGTAGTAAATGATTAATATTGAAGTTTAACCTGTATGTTTCAATCAGTTGTTGAAATTTCTTGATGAAAGTTGAATTTCCTGATAAAAGAAGCAATTTTATTTTTCACAATAGCCTCTTGGGATATCAGAACTTCTTGAGACAAATTTCCATTGGGACTGCTCTGTGTCTTGTTAGGTAAATTCACCACACAAAGCAACTTGGTTTTGTTAGCTTTTAATGAATCTCTGTAGAACACCTTCCTTGTTCTCTAAAATGCATTTGAGATACAAGCAAAATCCACTGTGGATTTAAACCATATTAAAAGAGCATTTAAACCATATTTATAGTAGATGGATTCAGATATAGAGGCAATCTAAGTTTTACTCACAGGAAAACTGCACTAGCAGTCCTCCCTTTTTCAGTCATTCAACCATAAAGTTGATAGTGATTGTGACAGGTATTTTTATCTTCCACAATATAGTTTTGGTCTTTTTAAAGTTTTGCTGCTTTCTCAACAGCGTAGATGAATTTGGAGAATGCTCACATGACAAAAATGTAGGAAAACACAGCGTGGCTTGCAAGTTTTTCTTGTCATTTCCACTAGCTGTTCACATTCTAAGATCTTACTATATTTTTGTCTGTGTTTGTGCTTGGCATTTTCATGAAGTTAAATGCAATGTTCTTTTCAGATACAAAAGCAATACACTACATAGTGTAAAATACCTTTTAGCTATATGGAGAATTTTTTTTTATGCTTCCATTAATGTTGACTCTTGGGACTTTTTTTTTTAACTTAGAGCATAAAATTTTAGATCTATAACTTAAGATAACTTAAAATAATATATCCAGAGCAAATGACTGAGTCATTCCTTCAAACTTCTAATTTTGTTCTACTCATAGGGAGATAATATTAGTATGAAAGAAAATTACAGCTTTCAGGTTGAAGTCTTCACTTCTCCCATCCATAAATGACTTAATCAATATTTAATTTTGGCAATGTTATGTGTCAAAGTCAAATGAAGCAGATATAGAAGACCAAGGACAGGTTTTAAATTATCACCAAGAATACATTTCAATGACAAGAGGTGTTCAAAGTATTTCACTTGCAAGATAATCAGTTTCAATGATGTTCTGTTCTTCCACTTCAATGTGCAAAGTTTCTTTCAATGTTATCTTTGATCCTGAGGGATCCTAAGAAACTTGTTACAGTATTTTTGTCTTTTTCCATCTTGCTACTTCATTCCCAGTACTACTTACATTCTACTTAAGTCTGTCTACTTTACTTGCTGGTTATCTGTCCCTTCCCTGGCTGTTTTATAGTAACACTGTATCAGACAAAGCCCTCAGTGGAGTTAAGTTACATCTTTACATATTTGTAGTTGAGATAGAGAGTTTTTATTTCGTACGTAAGAGAAGTATATAGACTGTCTTGCAGCTCAAATGAGCAAGCAAGGCTATTTTTCGGAAGTTTTTCAGATTCTATCAAAACAGTCATCTCATCTATCCACTGCTCCATCCACACCTTTCTAAGATCCTATTGCTTACCAGAAATTCTTAGTTAATACTAAGATACTGTTCGGGACATGGTTTGGCAAGCTGTAGTTTTACCCATAGGGTAGATATTTTGTATACATCGAGTGTGTTAAATTTTCTTTTTGTTATCTTCATCTTCTTAAGGTAATCATTAAGGTGAAAACAGTATGGTAAGTTTTAAAGTTTCTATGCATACACTAAGTTCCCAATTAAAGGTTTATTTCTTTTTTATTTGTTAAGTTTGCATAGGAACTTTTTTAAGTAAGTACCAAGTGCTTTGGCACAGTTGTTTAGCAGTGATATATGGTTGAGGAGCATGGAAAAGAAGAAAGGATGTTTTAAATCATTAGGATGATCCAGGTGGGTGAAATCATACTCCCAGCACTGCAAGGTTTTCTTGATTTATTTTTTTTTATAAAACAGGTAACTGTTTATAAATTCATGGGCTTAGTTAGATATTTGATCCTGTTAAAAATCCCCTTGTTTTCTTGATTATTTCTCATGTTTATTTCCTAATTTTTTTTCAATGCACTTTCCAGGATTATAAAAATACATATTTAGTGAAAGGAGATGCTGAGAGAATTGGAGTAGAAAGTAGCTAAGATTGCCTCAAAATGAGAAATCCTGCTTAGTAATACACATCAATCTGCTGTATTTCCCAGGTTCTCCTTAATACAGTGCAGCAGTGGTTTTTCAAATCAATTACTGATCAAGATACTATAATATTTTCCATAGAATTGTTGCCTCTTTTCCTCATTGTTTAAAGTGTATTCTGA